GTCATTCCCTTCTAGATCACAACTCACAGTGTCTGATGCATTTTCTAAAACAGATTTACCAGTATCTGACTGGTTCTATGAATTCTTTGTCATATTAAATACGACTGTATAGCTCTTGGAAATGATTCGCCGAAAAAAGGATTCCATTCATTGAATAGACCCAAGGATCCTGTGGTAAAATACGAGTGTGATCAGATTGTTCGGAATGTGTTGCGTAAACACACTTTACAGTAACAAATTACGTCTTTTTATTGTTTTGTCATCTTTAATAATTACCGAAATTGCCAGTAGTCTACGGTTGAAGAACACCTGCTGAGTTAAGTGATACTTTTGAGGCAGAGGGTGTTGAAGTTCACAGGTAGTACAATATATACTAACGCAAGATCCAATATCCACAACTTCTATAGTATTCATTCCGTGTAGACCAAAGGCAAAGCAAAACACCAGAATTGATCGTCCAAATTACGATGTATATTTCGGAATCAAATTGGAGTGCGAGGATGATTGTTTAACTAGCTAGGGATCGTGCACGAATGAACGAGCGTAACACAACAGCGTACCAAATGGCCTGGATGCTTGACCGTAACCCTTTAGCTAAACAAGTTGACTTAAATAGTGAGGGTCAGCATCCAATTTTCAGTGATGAGTGCTGTGGCTAATAATTCTGAGGAATTACCTAACGTTACAATACCATTCTATGTAGGTGTATAATCTGGGCACTGTGACAGAGTGTAATCCCACCATATACGTGTATTTCAAATATCATACAGTTACGCAATATTAGTAACAGTATGGCCTTTCGAGCACAAATCACTGCTCATGATCATATCAGTATATTCATATGGCGTAATAATTTGCCGTGTATAAACATGCTTTTCTCTCTGTCTGCTTTGTAGATTTCCGCCACTTTCCATACCTCTGTGTCATTTCGATTGCACATGTGTGTTGTTGAATCGACGAACAAAGACTTAGTGATCAACCTCTCCCTCCACTTAACTGTATTACTTTTAATACTTTCTTCCTGTCCCATCCTATTGTGTAGATACATGACTGAGCTTTTTTTCTAATTGACTTGATCTGCTTATTTTGTAACGACAGTAGACAACGACCAGGTAACAGATCGTTTATTGAGCAAATCAAGAGATGTTTATAGATTTCTATGTACACTATTGTCAGTGGAGAAGCAACGTCTTCCGACTGGTTGTTTTCTCGCTGTACTGCTTGTGACCGTTTCTCAGAAAATCAAGCCATATATCTAAAAGTCGTATTTGCACACGTTAAGTCTGCTGTGATTGGTTGATGAGTTCTTGAAGGTTAAGCTTTGTTATTGTTTTTCACATAACCCTGACTCGGGACGTGAAAATTGACGTTAACTGTTGTCTACAATTTTTGGCTCGCAGCCAGCTCTCACCACAATTTGACCTCACAGTTACTGCATGGTATTTGGTAAATTATATTATTTTTCTTAACTGTATCTATCGTGTCCTCTAGCAGACAAAGTTTATTGATATAATTATAGAATTTGGGTATTTTGGTAGAGTATAATTCCATTATGGAGATTTTATTTGGATAAAGTCTTATACTATTATTTACTAGTGACGTTAAGAGCACAATTTATTGTGCATAATCAGTTCGAGGTACTCACACACAACCATTGACTTCATTTAAGCACATAAGTAAAAAATTGATTAGATATATGAATCAATGAATAAAATCAATATAAAGTTCAATAGACATGCATGAAACAGAAAGGAAGCAAAGTAACATTCCCCATCTTATTGACTAACAACACTCGTCTTATTTCCCATCATATCACAATTTACTGATAACACAAATATTATTTCCGAATGTAATTGATCTTCCTTTCTATTTCAGGTATGTCTGTTGAAATATTTATATTGATTTTATTCATTGATTCATATCTCCAATCAATTTTTTGCTTATGTTTATGAGTGTAGTCAGAATGTGTGTGTGTGCGTAAATACCTCGATGTGATCATGAGCAATAAATTGTGCTCAAAACGTCATTACTAAATATTACTGTATGACGCTATGAGAATTTTCCAGAACAAAATATCCTCCATTATAGGCAAAGTTTATCTCTGAGAAAGTTAGTTGTTTTAAATGCCACCCCCTTAATTCCAACCTCATTGAGAATTCTACGTAAGGCGTCTTCTGATGTTACAATATTAGGATTCAAAGCCTCTATAGTGCTGTCATACAAAGCCACCACCACCCTCCAGTGACTGATATTCCATCCTTAACGAACACTTTATGCCCAATTTCAATATTATTCATCATACCACACCTGTAAACAAGGGAGACAGATCACACACACACACACTTATACTCAATGACTATCCTTTAGAGCTATAAATTAGGTCAGAGTGTACTGCTGTGCAGTACAGATGTCCTTTGATAGACAGCCAGATATCACGTCGACACCAGAGATGATGCAATTTGACAAATGTCTCACGAATCTCTGGTATCCATGATAAGATTTCGTTAGCAATCACCACAACCATTTCGTCACACACCTCGGTACGACATCATCTTACATTTTTAACACACTTAGAATCTTGCTGATTGTGCTTAGTGTAGAGAATTAAGAGATTTTCAGCTCAGCGCCATATAAATATCAACCCTGATTGTTTTAGGAGAGTTAGACACATCAGGTAGATGGGTACTTAATTTCCGCAGTGGAGTCCAACACTACCACAACATCGCAATTACAATTTAATACAGGCATTGTTTACGAACAAAAAGACGCATAAGCGTATTACTACAACCCAACAAGTATGCAGCATGCGCCCTAACGCTGAATTCTTTTGCGAAATGACATAAACAAGAACTGTCGCTAAAAATTAAAGAAGTACTACTAGTCGTCTATTCCCACAACACAACAGGCATTCATGAAGCACAGAACCTAAAAGCGAAGGCTGTCAGAATTTTAGTACCTAACAATTCGCGAAGTATCGTTCTTCTTATCGATGAGCATCCCTGTTCTCTTCTCAATAAAAAACAAACACTGTGAATTAGTGGACTCCATTGGCAGCCGAATTCTCATCATACTTTAAGAATGAGAAGTACGTAAAAGAAATGCAAGTGAACGATTACTCATAGAAATCTACTTTCCGGGGAAACGTCTCTGACACATACAATATCCCTTCACTTAATATCCAGTGGTATACTTGCTAGCCGACATAAGATCCAGTTTGGAATGAGTAAGGCGTGATCAGGTCAAAACCTGATAACAAACCATAATGACCGGTAATTTAAGCCACTAACGGGGGAAGCGAACTTTCTGATTGACGTCCTCAGGATGCTAAGAATCAGTGGCTAGAAGTTACTGATAATATGGCTTACAAATTGTTCGTAGATACCGCCGCAGAGGCATTGACTATTTGTGGCCATTCGTATCCACTAAACACGGTCGCGTTATGCAATTTCTTTCCCTTACACATTTCTGCTTATTGTAGAACTTTTGGATCGAATAACTCTCTTTCCTTGTTTTGTCCAAATCTGTATGTCTGTTACATGGATTGTACCACCAGCCCCAACGGGTTGATCTCCGACGAAATCTCAGCACGAATACAGAGGGCTAGTTTCGCGTATGCCAGTTTACGCCGTCTCTCGCGTAGACGTGATATCCGACTATCGACTAAAGGGCGGGTGTACTGCTCAGCAGTCCGCTCCGTCCTCCTCAATGGCTGTGAGACCTGGCCATTGAGAGTGGAGGATATGGAAAGGCTATCTGTGTTTGACCAATGTGCCTGCCTTCTATCTCCCAATGTGAAGTGGTATGATACGGTGAGCAATATTGAGGTTAGGCACTTATCGAATGCTATGTGAGGAGGGGAAATCAATCGATGAGGCTATGAAGTTACATCGACTGAGATGGTTGGGGTATGTGTTACGCACGCCCAGTCATTGCCTTCCTCGACAAAGGGCAATGTTAGCTGACATAGGGTCAGATCGGGGAAGAGCTAGAGGCTGGTGGTCAAACCAAAACATGGATTCATCAGTCAATGAAATCTACAACAGTTTAAGCCACGTAGGACGGTGTAAACTTCCGGTTTGGGGTACTCGAGATGGTAGAAACCAACGGTTGGGAACAATTGGTGATATGGCTTAAAATCGTTCTCAATGGCTAGTGCAGATGCATCCACTCCTTGTGACTTATGATTTCCAATGAAACTATATTATTCTTCGTTATTACTATTCCTTTGTCTCACACTTCTGTATACTGTCTCTATTATGCATTTCTCCTACTTTCTTCTTTTCTGGCTTTGTGTGCTACATGGAGTGTGGCGACTTGAACTGCCGCACATCGGTGCAAAGTTCTGTGTCGAATACAGACAGATAGATTGTAGCAACCAGAACTCATAGTCATATCGATGGCGCTATATACACAACACAAAGTTAACACAGGCAAAACAGCTTTGTCTTTTGTCTGTGTGTGTGCGTGCGTGCGGAGAAACCTCACCAACCAACAATAGATTCACTGGAATTCATCATCACAATGGCAGTCCACTTTTTTTCTCTCTACATCATCATACGCTTAAAAGAATAATGTCTTGACGCGATGCATCAGTCATTGTAGACTAACTAGTCTGTAATCCACACACACACACATGTAGTCAATAATTTTTACTCCACTCGACATCTTGTGTTGAACAGTCTTAAGCGAACACAGACACACACGCGCACACCATTCCAAAGAAAGTTTAGGGAAAAAGTTAATATTGAGCAGCATTTATTCTTGATGATTTGTTACATAAAAACAGAGATAAAACCGAAATTTTTTTTGGTAGTAACAGTTTATGACACTTTAATAACAGATTAATAATAACAATAATAATTATAATGATTAGTGTTCATGAAAAATTGACGTCGATTAGGATGAGTAGAAGTCAAGTAGAAAATGACAAGGAAGAAAAAAGGAGAGAAAAGAAAGAAAGAACGCGCGCGCACATATGTGAACAACAACGACGACGAGTAGTAGTAGTAGTAAATGTACGAAATTATCTACCCTTCATCAAACTTCCACTACTCTTCCCTACTACTACTGCTACTACTGTGTAGGTTTCAAACGATCACTACGACGATTTCTTTTAGGTGAATTATACAATGGTTCCATTTTTTCAGCCCTAATTGGATCTTCTTGAACTCCGCCGTCATCAGCATCACCGCCATTCTCATCACCATCAGCATTGGCTTCACCACCGGCACCACCACAGTCAGAATTTATGTTATCGCCAGTAGGCGGCGGCTGTCGTCTTTTAACACCAGCACCATCACTGCCGCCGTCACCATCAGCATCTTGATCTTCAGACACATCATCAACACTTGAGGAGTTATTATACTTAAGATCAGATTGACTTTCATCTGTATTATTATAATTATTATTATTGTATGTTGAAGGAAAAGGTTCCATATCGAGAACCTGCAAAGTTAAAGGGAAAAATAATTGTATTGAAGTAAAATAGAAGAAACCCTGGTTCATATTATTACACTACACATTATTAAGTAAATATACATCGGACTGACTAAGTAATAAAAAAATGTACACACAGATGAAACTATTAAGTGTGAAGTGGGATGGAAATCTCACACTGAACTACCAATACCAACCACCACCACCAGGAGGAGAAATGATGACTCATTAACACACGTCACCTTCCAACTTTTAACCAATGATACATAGTTTGGAATCGCGGCTTTATTTACTCACAACATGTGTAAACTAGCGTATATAGTTAGCCTCTTCATACACGATATTATTACAATTCTTTCGGGTGTCTTCCGTAGGACATCTCTATTCCAGTCGGTTCACTGAAGACGTGTGTTTGGCTGGCTAGCTCCAACAACTGCCCATAGGCTTTCATTGCCTTTTCACCCTTCACGTCACCTATGATATTGAACGCCCGTGCAGAGAATGATATCATGCGATAATCTCCTCAGCATGTGTCCTCGCATTCTAGCAAGACAACTGGAGAAATATGTTGGGTGATTGAAGCTCTGTACGAACCTAGGTTTCGTGCTTGTAGGTAGGTAGGTACTCGTCAGTAACACCTATGTATCTGTAATCTAGAAGGAATTCATGTCCCCATCTGAGATTCAAAAACACATCACCCAGTGCTGCAGTTATCAATGAACTCCTGTAGGACTGGAATGGTTACTTTTGTTCATCGCTATGTGAGAAACCAATGTCATACACAACCAGTCCCTGGGGGTTGGGTTGGGTGCAGCAGAATGAGTTCCTTCGAAATTGCAGATACGCGCCTTGCTGACGACTAGTGCACAAAGTCGCCTAGCTACATACAAGGCTTCCTACTGATTGCCTCTCTAATCAATCTGTCTAACATGAATTCGGTGTGCACTGAGATTGCAAGTCATCCGTCCACCATCTAACATCATGACCACACATACTGTTTATTAAAAACGAAGAAAAAGGTAACAGGACCACCACAACAACAAAACCTATCTCGTTTGAACATTTACTATCAGAGAAATTGTTAGAAAAAAGCCCCATGTGAAAGTAGCATCAACTGGCGAATTATTCAATACTATACGGAGGTATGGAAAACACGCGTAGCAGCACAGTCAGTAAGGCACAACGACAACAGAAAAACAAAACAAGACAACTCACTTTATAAATTTGTCTAAATGCAATTTGTCGTACAATCAGCTGGGCGGAGATAGTTATCTTTTCGCAGAATTCCTTTGAAACTCCATTGTTAATAGTTAGATAAAATGGTTTTGTACAGGCTAGAGGAATTCGATCGTCAAGAGGCAACTGGGCAGTATTGTTTGTAGCTCCGCTGGACAATTGTTGTTGTTGTTTGTGTTGTTCAACAGCCATATACATGTATCCACAAGCCAATGACTCGAAGAATTTACGCAACAATTTACACGGTTGAAATAAATCATTTATCAAATATGGTGGGACAAAAGTTCTTGGCGGTTGGTTAGGCGGAGATGGAGCAGCACTAACACGTGCCAAAAAGTCATACTCAAGGCATAAAAGACGATCAAGGTGTGCCTCCACATCCTAAGTGAAATGAAAATGACAGAGGGAGAGAGAGAGAGAGGATGAAACCACATCAATATAAAGCAGCAGCAGCAGCATACAATGAATAATAACCACTTGGGGGGGGGGCAAGTTAAACTTTAAGCACCACTACCTACCACCAATGGCATCGGTGGCATTGCGGTTAGGACGCTCGCCGACCATGCACATGGTCCGGGGTTCAATTCCCGGCCACTGACGCACTCCTTTACCTCGCTAAGCCAGAAATAATGCTGGTAAAGAGGGAAGGTTAGGCATGAGGCTAGCAACCCCATCCTGTAAAAATTGAACACTGCTACGGAAACTTCAAGCCACTACTAGCTTGAAGCCCTATGTTCCACTGGGGAACGTGAAGGAAAAAAAACTTATATGGAGTGCGATCGCACGAATGACCTGGAAAGGCTCACTGAGCAAGTTAGTGAAATCCGGCACACAATGTTGTCATCATCAATAAAATATGCTAATCGAAGTGTTATGCTATTGAATGGGATATCTGGCAAGTTTCACTTTAGGTTTGAGAAAGATTATGTTACTGTTTGAGCCAAAGACAAGTTAGGTTAACCTAAAAAAGGCGACAGCAGGTTTGGTTCGAGTTAGATTACAGTTAGTTTAGGGATATTTTCACGTTAGGGTTAGGTTCAGGAAAGATTAGGGATTATTGTTAGGGTTAGAAGACCTAAATAATTACATGCACAGAATGTGGTTAAATTACTCTGTTGATATAAGAATAGAACTTGTGCACTGTGGAGGTAGAGTATAATTCCACTGCGAGTAAAATTTATTTTGATGATGATGACAACGTTTCGAGCACAGTTTATTGCTCAATAGATGTTACTGTATAACACTATGAAACTTTATCAAAATAAATTTAACCCACAATAGAATTATCCTCTGGTAATACTCCAACCTAAAACTGAGAGCTATTTTTATCACATGTGAGAGGTAGGTAACTATCCTCTGTTGCACTTTTCTACAGTTTTTACGCATTTTTTTTTCTCTCTCTATATATATATATGTATTCCATACACAAAAATGCACCCTCCACGTGATTGGTGCGTTCGAGGTCATTCGCTGATTGGTAGTTAGTGGTGCTTAAAGTTTAACTTTGCCCATACATAATATATATGAGTGGTAACACACTGAAAGAATGCAATTCCCACCCTAAATGCATCACCAACCAGACTGAGTCAATTATATCTCTACTGCAGACGTGAAACCTAACTACTTATGTTATATGGGCATCAGTACCAGTAGTTCACTACTGTGCCCTGTCCAACGGCTGAGACTTGATCATTGGAAACGGGGGATAAGAAGACGTGAATGGCTATTTTTTTTAAACGGAATGGTGATTTCGTTTATAAGATATTATCCGTAATAATCATGCTGTGTACATAGACTGTTAGGTAAGGAAGGAGTGACAAGTGTTAAACGCATTCATATGTGAACTGTGATCATCACTAACTGGCTTCAACAAAGAGCTTTGCACCGATGTGCAGCAGTTTGAGTCGCCACATTCCATGTAGCACACAAAGCAAGAGAAGAAAGTAAAAAGAAATGCAAACAAGAGACAGTAAACAGGGATATGAGGCAAAAATAATAGTAATAACGAAGAACAACATATTTTTATTGGATATTTTAAGTCACAAGGAGTGGAAACATCTGCGCCAGCCATTGAGAACGATTTTGAGCCATATCATCAATTGTCTCCAGCCATTTGTTTTTACCATCGCGAGGATTCCAACCAGGAGGTCTATACCTTCCTACGTGGCTTAAACTAACTGTTGTGGATTTCCTTGACTGATCAAGCCATGTTTTGGTTTGACCACCAGTCACTAGCTTTTTTCCAACCAGACGCTATATCAGCTAACATTGCTCTTTGTCGAGGAAGGCGATGGCTAGGCATGTGTAACACATGCCCTAACCTTCTCAGTCGATGTGACTGCTTCACAGCCTCGTCGATTGATTTCCCCTCCTTACATAGCACTCGATAAGTGCCTAACCTCAATATTGCTCGCCCTATTATACCACTTCGCATTGGAGATAGAACGCAGACACCTATGATCAAACACAACTAGCCTTTCCATGTCCTCCACTCTCAATGGCCAGGTCTCACAGCAATGTAGGAGGGCGGAGCGTACTGTTGAGCAGAGCAGTACACACGTCCTCTGGTCGATAGCCGGAACTGCGATCAAGATTAGACCAAACAGTTCCAAAATAACAGGGTATCTATACCAGATAAATTGTGGCGCTTATGATGCTGTATATGTGGCAGAAACTTCCAGACAGGTAAATATAAGAATGAAAGAGCATAAACACAATGTCTAAAGTCGGTTCCAAAGACCTCTATATATTTGAAGAAGCTAGAAAATAGATCAGAGATTACACTACACTCGATGAAAAAACGGGACAAAAGATCGATTTTGATAGGACCAGGGTTTTGATTCGTATAAACAAAGACTGACTGCAGAAGCCATATATATATATATATATATATATATATATATATATATGGGTGAATCTTTAAAGCTTGAACAGACGTGAAAATGTGATCTTGATGCATAGCAAGTTCTGATTAATAAATGCAAAATGGATATGTATCACTAATTAATCATACTTGATCTAAATTCCCGATTGTCTATATCATCTTATAGTGGAGAGGCTAACAAATGATTTACAATTGTTGACGCAAACACACACTACTGTATACCGCATGTACACATATATTTTTTTCATATTCAGTTATTTACGACCATGAAATAATGTCAGTGATAGAAGATTTGTAGCTCAGGTGAATGATTTTGATGTGGTTGTGTTCTCCGAGCTGGATAGTTAATTTGCGGGGCTTTCATCGCCCTACTAGGCGACATCTTCAGCGCATACTTTAATTTGAAGTGAGCTTTTTAGATTTCTCCACGAGTTTATTAATCATCTCTCCTGGTGACCTTGGACGTGATTGGTTGTTTTCGTGTGTTTTCACACCTTCTAGGTTATTTGTATTGTAACTGATTGTTTCTTTGACTTGAACTTTGACCCTTTGTGTGTGAGGTTTCTTTCTTACTTACAAAGGGTCAAAGAAACAATGAGTTACAATACAAATAACCTAGAAGGTGTGAGAACACACAAAAACAACTAATCACATCTAAGGTCACCAGGAGAGATGATTAATAAACTCGTGGAGAAATCTAAAAAGCTCACTTCAAATTAAAGTATGCGCTGAAGATGTCGCCTAGTAGGGCGATGAAAGTCCCGCAAATTAACTATCCAGCTCAGAGAACACCACCACATCAAAATTAATGTCAGTAAAATGTTTGAGCATTATCGAATAAATCAAATATACTACAATTACATTTTAATGTTTTACACACAATGATAAGTTGTCGTTTCGAGCGAAATTACTGCCCCCTATGATCACACCTACTGTTGGAATTGTTTTGTTTTTCAATTCATACTTTAATGATTTGTACTCATACACATACATAGTTCATTTTTTTGTTCATTCACTTTTGTGTATTCAGAATTATATTCCAGGGTGTTGAAACTTGTCAGCTGAGTCACCCTTGTTACATGTATCAGATGCGACCTTAATGAATATCGATTCTGTTATTAGTAGTCTCTCCTTCCATTTGTTCATATTAGATTTCACAATAAAAACATTGTTCCAATCAATATTGTGGTTTATGTCCCGTGATGCATGTACAGCTATAGATGAATTTTTTCTCTAAATTACTGTAGGCTTGTGTTTCTGTTGGTTGACCTTTAGTCGGTTAGGCGCTTTTAAGTGCATTCACTCTTATTCCAATATACATGGTTAACACAATGTGTTTAACAAAAGTAGACTTATAATGGTGTTAGTCTATGGTCAAATTTTGATCACAGTTCATGACTCATAAGATTGGACAAGGATTTTAACGAGAAGTTTCCGTTTTAAATGTCTGTACCTTTATTATTTTTTAAAATTTTTTATTAGTTTCCATGAGCAAGTTTGGATCAAAGTTTGCTGAACGCAAACACGTTGGAATTTCAATTTCGCTGAAAATTTTACAAATGTAAATATCATTTTTACATGTTAGGCATGTGTTAAGTCACCACCAGCGAAAACATTATATTATTACAAGCCATCTTAGCTGTGGTCTGGGATTAGTCTGGAAAAGACTCAAGAGTGGTGAGAGAAAATAAGCACCGCACCAGTCCATGAACTTAGTGACAATTATTTAATTCAATTTTAGACTTTCCCGTCGATTGATTGGACGGAAGTGCTCGGCTTCATGTTGACATGTCGACTTCTTGTGCAGATGCACAAGAGGTGGCTTTCCTGGCCACAGTGGTCTAGTGGATAACGCTTTGACGTTTGAAACTATGAGCAGTGGGTTCGAGCCCCGGTGGGAACACCATCATTTAGTGCGGAATGCAGGTACATCCAGCTGGAGGACGAGTTCCAAATAGGACGAAATGCGCATCCTGGATTCCACTGCTAGTCCCCATCCACCAGTTAACTTCAGTGAAAATCGGTTAGAATTACGTGCGGTCAATGCAGGTTTCCTGGCTGGGGGGGGGGCACCTTCGGGATGTTAAGAATAAATGGATGGAAATTGATGTTTGTATGGCTCCAAATCGCTCACCATGACATATATACACACGCTCGTTGTGATGTCTCAGATTATGCGAACCACCTATAATGTTCCAGGATTTTCGTTTGTTGTTAGAATTTGACGGCATTTGTTTCCCATATCCTTGCGTGCTTTTATTTTCCCGCTCTTTTAAGTTTCGAGTGGAAATTTAAGTAGTGGTGGTGGTTTTTACGGAATGGGGTGGCTAGACTCATGCCCAACCTTCCCGCTTTTCCCGGCTAACTATCCGCTTAGTAGACTAAGAGTGAGTAGAGGTCAGGAATCGAATTCGGACCACGTGTTTGGTTGGTGAGGTGTCTATTGCTGAACCACTGTGTGCGTATAATGTCAGCTCATGATGAAATCCTCCATGCAACCAAACAAAATCCCTACAAAACCAATACTTGAAAATTAATCTGATACTCACTAGTAACTGGCTCTATTCAGGCAGTTACCCTGGGGTTCTATTGGGAAGCCGTGACCAGTAGGGTACAGCAGGTCGGAGATGAGGCAGTAACTCATCGAAGAAGATATTGCGAAATGGTCGCGCTATGTCGTGCTTGAATTGGCAGAAGTTAGAATTCAAGAACCATTGGATCGGGTCCCAGTGGCTGCTGCATGGCCTACGAGCTCGCCTTGTAACCAGAAGGTTTTGGGTTCTAACCCTGCAGTGTGGGTGCGTACTGATGAAGAATCCCAAACTAGAACGAAACAGCTGTCCAGTAATCCCAGGTTTTCCAGTGGTTCTCTAACTGATGTCAGTCCATGATGAAATCCTTCATGCAATCAAACATAATTCGTACAAAACCAATACTTGAAAACTTATGGGTTATGACAAATTTAACTGCTGCAGTCTTGTCAATCAATTAAAAATAAATCTGGAGCTTCAGCTTAGTGTAAATGGAAGTTGAACTCGCAGGTGTGGAGTGATGTTGATGATAATGTAAAAATTAATTAAATAGGTGAAAAACTTACAAACTCATTCAAATCAATCCAGTAGTCATTTGATTGGAGGAAATCGCGTAAAATACGACTGACCACGAGAAGTGGACCTCTTGATGAAGCGTTCTGAAGTGAGAGGAGAAAGGACGAAGAATAATGAGATACAAAAAAGAGATAGGGGCAAAGGAAAAGAGAGTGTGGATAATTGATTTTCAACAGATCCTGTTGCATAACGCTGAAAGCAATTACACTTAAGTTACAAGATTGACGTGATAGCGTTAAGTAGTGCACAGAACTTTACACTATACCACCAAACTCTTGATATCCATGACTATTATTATTAAATAACACAAACTTCCTACACATCATGGGCACCAAGAGGTACGGCACACAAAATCTCTCATAGTTTTTACGAAAGGTAGAATACGGTCCTCACGACTCCCTTACCGAAGCAGATGATTGTTTTTAGGAGCTACTCTCCTCGAGTTTTTGACCTAAAGTCAGATCGAAAAGACGATTTAGTGAATCTGCGTTCTCATAGTTGACAGTAATCAAAACAGGTCGATGCATCATACGATACGTCCGCTATCTGGAGCTCGTGCATACCACATAAGTTCGGAGTCAGAATTTTCTAGCTCCTCTAGATAGGTAGACTAGTTTGTCCAGCAGTTCCACTGCAAGCACCAGACGTTTGCATTCGCTCTTCAAGTTTGTGTGGAACACCCAGCCACGTAAAGGCAATGAAAGCAAGACTTACATGGCAGAGGCTATGGATGCTTGATCATATGAAAGCACTTGACGAGGAAGACAAGAGTCTACTCATCATCAGCTATAACACCCGACTGATAGCTCCTACCTTGACGTGGTAGTCGGGCATGGACATCGCGATGACCCAACAAGCTACACTGCCTGGAACTATTGTTCCTGCATATCCTGTCAGGAAGGTTGTTAGGATAGCAGATTGACTAAAAGCAGTTACCGGCATAGTGTAAGAATCTTTCTTACACTATGTTGGGGGTCTACCTTTGTGTGCTATTTGGAACGTGGCAACTCGAACTGCTGCACTTCGGTGCCAAGTTCTATGTTGAATCCAGCCAGCATGTTGGGGGTCCGTGACCAACCCCAAAAATTGTACATCCCAACTTACCCTACGGTGGTCAGTAACCGGCGGTAAGTTTACTAATACGGAACCAAACGAAGAAACCAGTTCATACAAGCAGTGTGTGACCGGCCTCAAGCAGTTGTCCACTGGACCTGCGGTCACGCAACACTAACCCTCTCTCTGTTTCAGGTACCCGAAGAATCAACCAACTTCCACGGTGTGGGAAGCCGGGAAGTAACAACCGCTCACACACTTCCAAAAGCACAGACAGCTGTAACAGGTGATTTACAAGCCCTTAGAGCAAACTGGTGTCATATATCAGTGTTAGAACAGAATACGGTTGACATCGTTTGGCAAACTGGTCTAGAATCATTTGCCAGTTTTGAAAAACCTAAGGCATTTTCGATCAATGTTGTGTGTTTTTGCTCAATTGCTTATCCGTTTCACACTTTTTCTATGCACACTGTTATACGCGAACCTCTACACGTTGGTCGCTATGTCTGATACTGACCAGTTGTATCAACTATAAATCCAAACAAAAATTGATGTTACCACGGCAACAAGGGTTACAACCAGGGGAGAGAATTAATGGTATTGCTACCAACACAGTCATTCTCTTTCTCCTTCAGCACCCAACTTCCCTTACCCAAGAGAAAAATTTAATAAAACTTCACTAATTCACTTACCATAAACCACTTTGCCTGGTGAACAGCTTCCAACGATTCAATGCACACCTTCTTTGGTAGCCGATTACCATTAGTGACCAAACGTTTAATAATTGGTACTTCTTGAAAAGTTGGATAAATGCATGCAGTGAACAGAAAAGAAAAATCAATGTTTGCATTATCAAATAAATTGGGAGAGAAAAAACACACCCAACAACATTAGAAACAAATATTTACGACCAAACTTAGCAAAATTAATGTCAGTTTCTTCTTCCTAGAATGCTCCAAAGAATGTAAGAGTCTCATCATATCGAGTGATGATTTGCAGGGATTCGATGACAAGTTCACGTCAGTTAGAGAACCACTGGAAAACCACCAGGGAGTACTGTATAGTTGTTTCGTCCCACTTTCATACTCTATATCAAGTACGCACACACATACCAGGGTTTGATCCCAGGGACTTTCGGTTACAAGACGACCTTGTAGACCATTCAACCACTAGGATAGAGTACAATGACACATGAATTACTAACTCCTGCCTATTTACAATGTATGACGCAACCACCAACCAATGTCACAAGCGAGTAGCTAGTTGTTCTCTTGTAACGACAGAAGACAAGGATCAGGCAACAGATCGCTTATTGAGAAAATCAACAGATATTTATAGATTTTTATGTTCAATATTATTCGTTATTTTAGTGGAGAAGCAACGTCTTCTGATTGGTTTTTCTTGTTGAAGGTTATCCTATACTGCTTGTGACCGTTGCTTACGAATCGTATTTGCACACACGCTAAGTCTGCTGTGATTGGTTGTTGAATTCTTAAAGGTTAGACTTTGTACTTGTTTTCTCTCATGACCCCGATTCGGGACGTAAGCATAGACGTAAACTGTTGTTTACAATTTTGGTTTGCAGACAACCCTCACTACACTCTCACCTGACTTGATTGACCCCCGCGCTGTTTACAACTCCCCCCCACACTAGAACTCCAGCTCGTGATCACACCAACATAATTTTTGTTACAACTTAGTTGTTGCTTATTGGATTTCAGTAAACGAGTTTCCCCTCTATCTATTTCAAACAGGAGTAACCAACATGCAATTATATAGAAATCGGTTCGGACTACCTGAGTTCCAAATAACGAAAGTTGTCCCACTATCAGCAAAATTAAAATCCTTTTTTTTCTAAGAAAAAACTGTATCAGAAGGTGTAACTTCAACACCAATGCACATAATAATTGATTTAAGATGCCCATTAGAAATTTCAAAAGACTGATTATACTGAACGAAGAATATTCTTCTCGATAACCTCATGAGATTATCATTCATCCATATGAATAGAATTTAATATGAACGTTACTCACGAGAATGCATTACTACTATATATGCATATATTCCTTATTATTCATAATCATTTTTGCTTAGGTATAATTGGTGTACAGCTTAGTGTAACAATGATATATGTTACCACATACATACACATTTTTGGACTATTGTTTCATGTGCTACTGACAATATTCATCAGTAGGATATGGACACAAATGGATAGGAAATTGCCAAAATTGGAAACAATATTTCTAGTCAATGGCTGCAGAGTTTACTTTAAGATCAGGAACTAATCTTATTGGACAATTTTCTTGGCTACATGGTTTAACCTTCGGGAGGTCGACCTTTAACAATGTAGCTAATAATGTATAAATTATGGTGCATTTTTCCATAATAACAAGTTTCTCTTGTCTTTTACCATTACACTATATTTAATCTGTCTCCAAAAGCCTCAGGATGGTCGGGGGTGGGTGCCTTGCGCTGCGGGTTGCCCACCCCTCCGCACACCTCTTGAAATGCTCCCATATGACCAGGTGTCTTACATAGCCTCTTCTGAGGAAGTCCTACTCACTGCCTTCACGTGGCGGAGGTGTTTTTCACCAAAGTGAGAGGGAGAAAGCGGATGCCTGGCGCTCTTCACCGGGTTGACTGTCCATTGGATGACAGTCTAGGGGAGATGGCTAAACCCTGATTCCAAACCTCCAACGACTGGCGTATGAAGCTCACCGGCAGACGTATGGACAAAGGGCTTGTTGGATGTCCTGGATGTCTGGCCCCATTCAAAAAGGCGTATGAACCGAACTCCGGTCACCGGCTGCCAATGGATAGTGGACTCCCTACTCCACTCCTACTGCCTTGTAGGTCACACTTGGTTGTGTAAAGGCTAGAGCAGCACTCTCAAACAAAAGGCCGAGCGATTCTGGGGACATCACTCATACCAAATTCCCATGAAACTTCATGAACTCTCTTACATGGCTTGGTACAGTCAAGGCTGATATGGAGTGCCTGGGGCTACAAACCGTCTACGGACTCCGTCTGTGGAACAAGAATTGGATAACCCTGTCGCAAAACCTTGCATCAGATCGCCGCGCCTGGGCAGCGATGATTCGAGATGTTCATGAAGCCGGTTCATCCTCCCGTAGGAGATAGCCGAAGTAAAGTAAAGTAAAGTATATATATGATTGTCAATGTACAGCTAACTGTATGAATTCACCGAAAAGAGACTTTTCGCGGAACTATGTTTAGCTTTCACCAATATCTAGATGGGGGATTATTCATAAAAAGCAAAAGAGATACGCGATTATATAAAACTCAGGTCAGTTACACGAACAATAAGAACAACAGTAACAAGAATGATTACCTGATATATCTGTAGTAGCAACTGTCTTTTCGTCCAACACTACTGGAGATGACAGTGAAACTATCAAAGTTATAACAGGCCATACAGAGGGAGAAGATTCCTTCTTTGGACTGATGACATCAGCGGGTAAATCATTCTCGTTTAGTGCAGACGGATCCGGACAGGACACAACAACCATAATTTTTCCCGAAGAAGGTTCTGGTGTGATAGTATATTCAAGACGGGATTCCAGTGACTGTGTTTAAAAAATCAAGCGAATATATATGCATTTTTATTACAACCCAAGATCGATAACACCTTCAGGTTCATTGAAAATATATAGTTCACATAGAATAAAGAAGAGAAACATACTCCATATATATACATATTGTCCGCCTATTGGAAATGAACCTGCAGGATATATCGACCGGGGTTTTTTGGGAGAAAATTTCTACCTTTGTTATGTGTACTTGAATGCATGGTGTATGTAGCGCTTCCCCGACTGGTATTTCACAATTATGTATAAGTTGATTTATCATTTGTGCAAGACTTCCTTGCCCCACAACTTTATTTCAATGACAAAGTTATCTGCAATAGTGTGAACTATTAAGCTTTCACTCCTAAATTTAAGTATACTCGGTAATACTTCTCATCAGCTGGGGGAGGGTTACGCTGGAGATCACATATACGCTGTCAGGTAATAAAACTGACGAAAAATAATATAACAAGGAGTTCCTAAGACTACATTATCATTTTTTATTACATTAAATTGAATAATTTCCATTGAAGTATGTATTAGTTGCACAGTATTTGGCGAAGAGATCTTTCAACGAGATTGATTATCGAGTTGTACAGCCATATTCCTTGAGAAAATTTATACAATAGCTGTGAATAATAATGACTATTTCTATAGCTGTCACTGTATTAACTGAGATTGTAGTTGTAGTTAAACACCAAGCAATAATAACGACAACGACAAAAAATAGCTCATGCAATACACAAAACAGTTTACAGAATGAATACACCTTAGGAAGGGATGTAGAGGAGAGAGAGACTGTACAACACTTCTTTTGGACACAAAGGTCACTCATCAGTCTAGCTATGGATAGCCTAGACTCCGGCTGTTTTTAAAAGCTGGTAACCAAGATGGTGCAGTAGGTCTGTATGAATTTTTAATAAATGACTTTAAAATCATGTTCAGGGTTGGTTGAGTGACACAGAATTCGATTAAGTGTTCCAAAGTTGGAAAACTTGTTGCACCCTCTCTTCTTCTCCTTATGCGTCTTCCATTATACGACGATGCTGTAATATGTGCCCTTTCAACCGTGTGAGAAACATTCTATGGGTTTGGCCGAGATGTGAACTGATAAGTGTACACAGAGGTGTTCAGACACTGGAGCTTATCTTTTACCTGAAAGGGTAAAGGTCGCAAACAACGCCTCACTGACTGAAGATTTAGAAACAAACCATCTTCTTCGGAACTGAGTTGTACACAAGGTTCTGGCATAAATTAATGAATAGTTGAGGCTATTATTATTATTAACTTATCCCACCTACATTTTAAATCCCCGCATAGAATATAGTTTTCTAAAAATCAGCTTGAGAAGCCTTTTTGCTGAAAATCGGCTCTCTCATTACTTCCACACTAAGATCAATATATTCGAAATGAACCTTTCTTCATAATTCACAATACCAAATAGGGACACAGATAAGGGAACACACGGAGAAACAATACAACCAATTTCTTTCCAAGGAGTAGTCACTTACTTACAATAACAAAAATGCCTGTTAGAACTCAGTTAACCTGGACAGTTTTTTCATGTACCAGATTATGAGCCAAATTGGATATGTAAGGCCTGACGAAAGCACCATTCAGTTAGGCAGAACTAAAGTAAGTGGAGCAGGATTCGAACCCAGGACCCGTCAGTTAAAAGCCGAGTAGTCAAGCTCATAAACAACATCACCAACAATAATAAACTTTATGGACTAGAGAAAAGACTGTCAGGCATAAGAAACACGATTATTCGATCTCGCTTGTCAAAAAATCATCCTATGCCAATTGGTTCAAGTAATAATAATGAGTGGAATTCACACAATATATTGTGATAATTTAACAAAGAGTTCACAACTAGACACATTCCTTTGAATTTTAATACTACTCTAATAGTTAATATTAGGTAGTCAAAGCAACGCAATACAGTTTCGGTGTGTGCTACCGACGCAGATTGATAAAAAGTAGCCAAGATTGAAAGCAACATTTTAAACTACTGGCTACAGAAGTGGAAGCGTTTTGATATGTAGTCACATAATGTCTGCCTTGTTTTGCCAGTCTGATATATTTTGCAATAGGTCTATTGATCGTTTGTCGATTATGTCTCACAATATATATTGTCTGTCCATAAACTTAACAAACAACGCGTGACCTTTGTCAGATGATATTGCAACCAATCAGAATCCAGTTGGTGCTAAGAAAAACTATTGCTTGTCAAGGTCATCAATTCGTTCGTTAGGTAGTTTCATTTTGGGCTGCTGTAGTTTAGAGTCACCGTTATTTTCTGTATACTCTTGTATTGTACAGTCAGTTGACTCTCTTTCGTACTTTTCCACTCACACTCTTGCGTGACACTTGACTTCCCTTGTTGGAAAATACACGTATCCATTCGTGAAAGTGGGAGTCTTCTCATTTTCCTCTTTCGGTCAGGGCAAATTAACTGATAAGCAATACCAGTCTTCACGTTATCGTCCGCCATATTTACACTCACTCACTCCATAACACGATTATTTCTCAAATCTGGACCTAACTTACATCTCATAGTTTAACCTTCAGATAAACAACAACCAATCAGAACAGTTCATTATCCGCTAACCAAGCGGACCATAAATGTGGTTATAAAATTGTATAAATATGGTGTGTTTTTCTTTAATAGAACGTCTGTCACCAAGTCTGATAAAATGCATTAAATAAATAATGAATACAGTGGGTGAACTAAAAGAGACATAACACACAAAAGCCACTTTACTTGTGATAACTCTAAGTGGTGTATATGAAAAAGCCATGACAACTAAACGAGACAAATAAATTTTCCAACCCGAACAGTGTGTGTGGAAACAGACACACGCACACACACACACATGCTCAAAAAGTCACTAACCTTCATTATATTTGTAATCTCAGTTGATACGTAAGTTGTCAGCTCTTCTGTTGGCCATTTAGAACACATTAAGACAAGGTGGACTAAATGTTCACCTCTCAGGAGTAAATTTTTCCCCAGTGAACCGGCGTGTAGAATACCGGTGAGTAGACGTTCGCCTACTTTTTCTTCACCTTCATCTACTTTAACTTCACCATTCTTTGAATCATTGACAGTACCACCACTGGAGTCAGAGGCTAAACGTACTTGCTTTAATAAATCATCACTGACATCTTTCATAGCCTGCTTGCAAATATTAACAGCCATCATCATTGCCTAAGGAGAAGAAAGGGAGGAAAACAAAACACACACAACTTGAATGAGTTATGTAGGAAAAAAGTGATGATGGCTCAAGATTGATTCAAAGGGATCAAACATTGGAATCCCCCCTACTGATTATTTGAAGGAACTCCGGCAACAGTAAAGAACAGACACCAAAGTCAGGTGACCTTGAAACAACCAATCAGATTCATTCTGTTGAAAAGTGGCATAAAATTAATAAAAAGAAACTGTACTTACAGCATGTACATGTAATAAAAGTGAACTATACAGGATAAATGTCTCTAATGTGCTGCAAAAAATGGTCCCAGTTTCTCATAGGAGTGGTTATAGACATATTAAACTAATACCGATACAAAAACTCATCTAAATGGCTATATACCATATCACTTCGGGAACCATTTACTATTCTGATACGTGTTTGGAGTGAGCCCAAAATCCTTCAATGGAATTTGTATGTATTTCTGTTACAGGATCCACCAATTCCTGGGAGGACTAGTCGTTGTATAATTGGTATTAACATAACAGCACTTCTGTTCGGGATGCGTTTCACAAACCCCTTTACGAAGATTTGTGTCGTAAAGTCCCAGCACCCAAACATGATTTGCTCTACTCCTCCCTCGATTCATTTTTCACTTATTAAGTACAGTTTCGTCAATATGCACGACGACGCCAACTCCCCCAAGTACAGAGGTGATCCCGTTTAGCTTTTGTAAGGCAACATCACGGTAGTACTGATACCACTGCACTGCTGAAATCTTTGTATTCTTCGTTTCTGCAGCTGTAGCAGATACTGGTCGCTTTAGTAGCCAGTTGTGGCGTATACGCAATATTTTACCAATGGACAATTTCGGTTTGGAGAAGAAAGTATCTAAAAAATCACTATAATGTACAACTTACCAACTCGCACAGATTTCTTTATGTAACAAAGGTTGAATCTAAATGCGTAGTCATCAACAGCTCGGAAATACTTTTGTAGAGTCATTATCCCTCCACATATACAAGTTTTAGACCTCCTTGTCAACCCATTTTCCACACAGAAGTCAAAAACTAAATCTGCGTGAAACTTGCAACGAACTTAATGAACCGGATCCATTTTGAATGATGAACGATCTGATTGGTTGTTTGAAGGTCATTTGACTTTGGTGTCTATTCTTTACCCTTACCAGAACTCCTGATGAGATGCCACCCCTCTAAATAAATGTCCGATTGTTTGTAGATTTCTCCATGTCGAAACTCGAAAGCACATATTTAAAGAAAATGATCATTATACCTTTAGGCAATCTGGAACAGCTGCCACTCAGAAATCGTCTATATTAAAGAAGGGATCTGATTTAAAAATATCTTTTCTTAATGTTCCACTAACAAGATATGATGAACAAGTTGGAACACCGAAGAGACCTATTCTCACAGAAAGCCGACATGAAAGGGACAACGCACAAACTTTCATAGTTGGATTCCTTTATATACAAAACGAAACCTGATCCGTTTATTGAACCACAGAATCTGCAACATCGGCAACCTTGACACTATATGGGAGAGCGGCTGAATACTCTAAAGGCGATTCTCGCAAAAACTGACTTCCCCTGAACATTTCATCATAAAATCTATGTAGCCGACAACACCACTAAGAGCACACACACAGTCTCTACCCCCCAAAGGAAGAAAGCCTTCTTGGCAGCTGAACTATGTGCTGAACGCATTTCTCATTTTATACAATTCCTTAGCAGTTAAACCAAAAAACTAAAAGGAAGAAACGAAATGTGAGCTCATTCAAGTATGTCACCATCCTTCTATCCATCCATTCAAACCATAGTAGGCAAAATCAACATACCTGAGTTTCCAGAGGTGTTGGTACCAAAGAGGCATGCTTGGCATAAATATATCTATTTTCGAGAGATTTATTAGGCGTCTGTGGACCATACATTCTACCAGGTATACGATCATATGCTAATAAGGCAGCACTGCCAACCCCCATATTTCCACTGTTGCGTAAGGTATTGGAACTGGGAAAACTGCTAGTGTTCGACTTCTGAAATTGATAAAAAAAAGGGATATAGTGTTTGTTTCCTTCTGTTTTTTAGCCATGCAATCGTATTGGAAAATAATAAAGACAAATTTACCGTATACAACAGGCGTAAAAAAAACTTGGCAAAAATTTGATTGTTCAACTGCTCGTGTCGTTAAAGCAACGCGTTAGCATGATGAAGATTAACACGAGGCGCCCAGAATTGAAATCGATACTTTAAGTCAATCCCGTTGATAGTGATTAGTGTTGGTTGGGTTGTTACTGGTTTGTTATCTTCATCATCTCCGTCTTCACCATATTCACTTGACGTCCTGTCTTCCGCGCAGACTTCTTCTGCTAATTTGTTTTGATTTTCTCCTGTAAGTCTGTGAGGTTGCATGAAATTCGGCTTTGCTGAGGTAGAGAACTGTTTATTCCTCAAATCTGGACTTAGTTCATAGCATTGACATGAAAGTGACCTCATTGGACAACTTTTGTTCAACCTTGTGGCAATCGCCGACCAATCACAACCATTTATTGTCTTCCGACCTAGCCGAAGTTTAATGTAACTAAGAACGTGATGTGTTCCTATTTAATAAAGGTCCGTTACAAAAGTTTTTTTATTTTTTTCGTGTTACACATGTAGTGAAAACACGTACATAAAGTATAGGTAAGGTGTAGACTCCAGGTAAAAAAACAAAAGATTGTAAAACTTTATTAATTGAAATGATTGCGACACGCCCTCCCTTTACGAGTTACGAAACGTTAGCGGAGAGAGGACTGACAAAATGGAAACAATTTAGTACGTTTAGATTCGTGTATATGATGTAGACTCAAAACTGATGACGACTGGAGGAATCCAGGTGAAGTGGATTAAGTCTAATCACAGTACGCAAGATATACATATTGATAAATATTGATCACAGTTCATATGGAGAGAGAGCATAATAACACGGAAATTGCATTAGTGTTTATTTCGAAATGGGAGTGAATGCAACTGCGCCACCGAAAAGAATTTCAAGTCATAACACACAAATTGATACTTAGGCGTCTCGAAGACCCCACAATCAAATACTCTATACCTTCCCCTATGCGGTTCAAACTGTCAAAGACTCCACGGAACATCACAAAGTAAAATGCCACACAGTATTGCCGGGACGTTGACTTAAAAAATCATTGTTCATATACAATAAACAACTAATTATGCTTTCCTATTATATCTGAGTAATACTTATTTTAGTTATATGGGTTATAAATGCCATTTAAAGGTTAATTTTGATGTTCAATGATTGGAGGCAATAGGCAGGACGCACAGAACCTAGGGGCTTCGTGCTTGATGGCGAGTGACAAAAAGAAGCAGAAAACGTAGGTGTCGTCCATACGGGGGGCATCCTGCTAACTGCTCCAACCAACCATCTAATATCAATTCATTCAGTGTGCATCGGAACATTGAATCACCACCACCTAACACGATGACCACATTGTATACTTGACTGAGAAAATTCAGCCTATACCACCAAACAAAGGACTGGACGACGCATGGCATTGGGATAATCTTCACACATAGGCAACCGACTGAATACGACAATTATTTGAACACATGAAATTTCTAATCAGTTGGTATCAGTGTCTATTGGACTAATGAACGCCTATTAACATCCTCCAATTAGTAGCATCTCATTGCATTGATTTATATATGTCCAAACCAAGTTCACTTTTAACAATTTGAAAATAATTTGGGCATTGGGTATATGATATTCATTATAATAAAGGTTTTCTCGTATTTTCCAATGAATGAAAAACAAAACGATATTGTTTTTACTGACATTTCGCTATTTATTGCTAATAGCTTTATCAAAGTATTATTAAACCGGAATTTACAAAATCTCAACATGTATATAACAAAGAGTTAAGAGATGAGAAAATAGACTTGAGTCAAGTTAAAAGGACATATTGATTTTGACAATATTGAAATAATCCAGAAAAACTTCAGGAATCACAAAGAATGTCTAATATCAGAAGCACTTCATATCAAGTGGAATCCAAATTGCCTGAATAGGAATGATGGACTAAAACAGAATCAGACCTGGTTACAACACCTCCCTCCCTCATGAAGTGACTAAATCAACACGAATGTGATAAGCAAGTTCACTATGTAAACACACACTGCCTTTATAAATTTAAACACTGATCAAATCCAACAATCTACACTTGGTCTTGTTATCTTTACCAATTTGACAACGAAAAATGACCCCAGACTGACGAACTTTGATCAACTTAGTAAACTTTGTTTTGATATCATAACAGATGTGCTATTACCTTTGTTATTTGGTTCAGTGATCTTCATTGTTATTTTGACTTTCAATATGTCCCTTTAACTCGACCTAAGCCTATTTTCTCATCTCTTAACTCTTTGTTATGCTGAGGTTTTGTAAATTCCGGTTTAATAATACTTTGATAAAGCTATTAACATGAAATAGCGAAACGTCAGTAAAAACAATATCATTTTGTTTTTCATTCACTGCATTGATGTCCATCGCTAACTATATAAGTTATATCCAGTTGAGTATATTTAATAGCAAGCGTAATATGAAGTGTTATGATGATAGGATCAGACAGAGAGATGAGAGACTGTCCCGTTAGGTAGATTGAAATATGATTGGCCAGTAAGGAAGATGCTTCATTAGGCAGGCAGGTAGGTAGGTATTCAAGTCTACTGTAATTCGCAATTAGCAATAATAATACAATACAGCTCGAGGTGGTGGTCGTGGTGAGATTTCACTACAGTTCCCATTTGAATGTGAGAAGCATTCAACTACTCATTTCAATAAATCAGTAGTATGTAGTGAAGTACAGTGTAATTTTTACTTAGTGACCTCATAAAAATGATAATGGTCGAGTAATAGAGATGATGATAATAACAACCTGGCAACCAAGCGTGTATTCAAGTACCGGACTTCGTACTACAGTTTTACTGACACGACTGACTGACAGTCACCTAAATCACTACTATCATCAAATCATTTATTTGCAAGGATGTGATAGTATTTTGTGATCAGACACTACACCAACTAGTGTGATGCGTCTAGTCCTTTGTTTGGCGCGTTGGCTGAATTCTATCAGTCGAGTTTGCAATATATGGCCACTATTCTAGATGGCTTGCCATATCACGGTGCACTAATACTACTACTACTACTACTCAGAATTGTGGTTATTAATCAGATGGTTGAAGGCAATCGCCAGGTAGCCCTGGCCTTTGAACGTAGGTTTCGTGATTGTTGGCACTCATCAGTCGGCGTGGCGTATTTGCAACTGCCTTGAAGGAAGTCATGTCCCCCTCCCTTCTGAGATTTGAACCCATGTGTCACCCAGGACTGCAATCAGAGACGTTACCACCAGTGAGCAATCAGGGCTCGTGATTGACTTCCTGTACGACTACTGTATTTGGTTACTTTGATTGGACACCATCAGCTAGTGTCATAAGTCTAGAGTCCTAATGGTCACATAGTGCAGATTACTTGTATGAATGAAACAAAATTTATGATAATCAAAAGAAGCACATCACCACCACCTACTGAATCAGAGTGTTTATTTCTTTTATCTTTTCCATTGGATGATTTACGTAAAAGTTGATTTCCAGAGTTTGGATCAACAACGAATGATGGATCAACTTTCTTTTTGTATTGGGTACGATGACGTCGACCACGTAGATGGCAGTCTCGAGTGTCTATACTTGGAATTTCACACTCGCATAATTTACAACGATAAGAAACACTTTTACCATTTTCACTGACAATCTGAAATAAAGTAAAAATAAAGGGTAGAAAACGGAGAAAACAATAATACTCCATAGTTTCAGATATTTAATAGAATTTTTGGGGGATTATGGAGGAATTTCCGTTGTTAAATTTTTGTAATGAAACAAAATCATTCAGAACAAGAGGTCTTGAAGTGGTGATCAGCAGGGTACACCATGGTCTAGGTATGAAGTGGATAGTTGTCGAAGTCATTAGTGAGGACATAACGGGTTGACAAAGGATGTTAGAGGCTATTGAATTCCAACCCAGATAGGTGGGTGAATGATCAATGAGCTTAGTAAAATGGAAGATCAATAGAGTTTTATTGGATATGATGAATCACAAAGAGTGAATGCATCTACGCCAGCCATCTAGAACGATTTTGAGCAACATCGTCAATTGTCACCAGCCACCACTGGTTCTTAAAATCCCAAGTACCCCAGAACCAGGAAGTCAGTTTACATCTCCATATGTGAACCAAACTAACTGTCGAACATTCATGGAATAATTCCAAGTTTCGGTTTAACCACCAGCCACTAGCTCTTTTCCAACCTAGTCCATCCTATGTCAGCTAACATTGCTCGTCGATGGCTAGTCATACATAACACATCTCCTAACCATTTCTATCGATGTAACTTTACAACCCCGTTTATTGATTTCTCCTCCTTACATAGCACATGACGCCTAACCAACTCAATATTACTCACCCTATTACAACTGCCAACTAACACGGGAGATAGAACGCAAACACCTATGATCAAAGACAGCTAGTCGACCTTTTCATGTCTTCCACTTTCAATGGTCATGTCTCACAGCCATGTGCGAGGATGAAGCGAACTGGCTAAGCAGTATACACAACCTTAGGTTGACAACCAACCGGATATCACATCTACTAAGCCAGAGAAGGCATCAGTTGGCAAATGCCAAACGAGTCATTTGTATCTGTGTTGAGATTTCGCAGATGAAACTTCCCGAATAAGCAGCTTTGTGAAGTCCACTGCACATGTGAGTATAGTTCAGTAACCCTTAGAGAAGCAAACATACACTTATTTGCTAACTGTTTACTCGGCGGCTGTTTTACTTTCAAACTATGTAAATAAAAGCAGATTAAAAACAAACACTGAATTTCTGATAACAGTTGAATGCAAAAATGATTTTAATTGTTTTATGCGAATAGTGGATGTCAGAAAAAACAGGGAGATTTAATTGCTAAAAGTATTTCTTTTCATCAAGGTGAATTACGTAACACACTAATGCCAACAATATATATTTCAGCACCCCGTTCCCTTTTAGGCTGTCTGCCTTTATATAACTAACACTTTCTCACAGCTAGCCAAAGTATACTCTCTCTCTCTCTCTCAACTATCAGATGTTTACTTTCGCCTTTTCTGTTTAACTTCATCATAGATATGCTAATGGAAGTATCCTTAACTGAACTTAACGACTTGTTACCAGGGAATAGTCTTATGGACTTAGAATATGCAGATGACATAGTCCTGTTAGGGGAGGATGCTGACAAAATGCAGAGTCTTCTAAACACCTTCAGCAGCAATCTTCGTATGTTTGGCATGCGATTCGCCCCTGTGAAATGTAAGATGCTCCTACAAGACTGACTGGACTACGTCAACTCCTAGCTTAGTGATAGGGAGTGAAGTGACAGAACATGTTGACCACTTCACCTATTTGGGAAGTTGTATCAGCACCAACGGATTGATTGATTGGTGACGAAATCTCAGCACGGATCCAAAAAGCTCGGGCTGCTTTCGCTAACTTACACCGTCTCTGGCGTAGGCGTGACATCCGGCTATCAACCAAGGGACGTGTATACTGCTCAGCAGTTCGCTTCGTCCTTCTCTATGGTGGTGAGACGTGGTCATTGAGAGCGGAAGACATGAAAAGATTGTCCATTTTTGACCACAGATGTCTACGATCTCTTCCTCACGTTAGGTGGTATAATAAGGTAAGTAATGTTGACGTTAGGCGTAGAGTGTTGGGCAAAGAGGGAAAATCAATCGAAGAGGCTATGAGGTTACATAGATTGAGATGGTTAGGTCACGTGCTGCGCATGCCTAGCCATCGCCTCCCCCAACGGGCATTATTAGCTGATATAGGTGAAGGTTGGAAAAGAGTAAGTGGTGGCCAAACAAAAACATGGCATCAATCCATGAAATCTTTGACAGTTAGACTGAGTCAGGTAGGGAGATGCAGACTTCCGGGTTGGGGCCAGCTCTCGGGACTCTAAGAATCAATGGCTGGAGGCACTAGGTGACATGACTCAAAATCGTTGCCAATGGAGCAGATGTATTCAGTCTATGTAATATTTCATATTCCTTTCTACCATTATTCATTCTGTTTCACTCCTATACTTGTCAAAACTCTATTGGTTCTCTTCACTCATCTTGTTGTCTACCTTTGTGTGCTCTTTGGAACGTGGCAACTCGAACTGCTGCACTTCGGTGCCAAGTTCTATGTTGAATCCAGCCAGCCAGCTCTCGACTATCAGATTCATCGATCTTATTTTGAATTCTTGCCTTGATTTCGTTCTTTATAACCAATCATAGATGTTCTACTGTATTGATTTTAAAACCTTAAAAGCCTTTCACAATCTATCACTTTTTCATGTCCCCTAACTTACTAACTTCCAAGGGTAATACGCAGGAGATGATAGCTTATTGGCAAAAACGTGACACCAGCTTAAGACAATTGAGTTTTGACATAACTGAAGATTTTTACAAAGAGCGGTAAAATGATCACAGCAAATGGGAAGGTAATAAATATGAATAATAATACAAAAAGGGAATGATCATAGGAAAGTGGACACTTACTGTTTCTATATACTCTTGACCGATAGGTGGATTTTCAGGACCCATAAGTTGTTTTATGTCGACATGCTTCATTAGTTTGTTGTTTGGTGTTGTCGTGTCAGGTGCTTCATTTTCGCTTGTTTCACCTTTAATTTTAAGAAAAAACACAAGAACTTGTGAAACTGGGACCAAAAACCAAAAACACACATATACATATACACAGAGTGAGATTGTGATACATTTATTTTACTGGTAAAGAAGGGGTATGTGTGTGGAGGTGTGCACAACTCTTGGACTTACAATTCCTACAGTTAACGCAATGATAATATGCGTCGCTACGGGGCTACTGACTACAAAAAACTGTATATGTTCTGTAGGAAATTGAATTCAGGAAAAATAAAGCGTTGTTTTAATAGTTGCCTTCGCCCCCCCCCTCTAAAGCGACCTGATACGATCCACCAAGGATGGGTAGGCTTCCTTTAGAAATGCTCTCCAGCGGTCACGCTTTCAAAGCAACTGCCAGCCAGACAAGTCTTATTCACTGTCTTGGAGAATACTAACGTCTGACACTTACAACCAGATTGATGGATGGACATGCAGGTCTACCCAGCTAGGAGAGCTGAAAAACCTTGATTACAAATCTACGTCGTGGAGCTCCAGAATCCGAAAAGATAATAGAATGGCTTATGAACCTGTTCTGGTCACCTTCTACAATGAGAACGCTGATTCATTGTCTTGTAGATGAGATTTCAAGTCAAAGGTTCGAGGGGTGGCTGCCCCTTAAGAAAACCGCCTAACTTCGGTATGCGCAGCATCCCAGCAATTGTACACAAACTATGAGGGGCACACATCTCTTGGGTGCCTACCTATAATGCACCAAGTTTCAGTTGTAATACATAATAATTTATTCATACTTGCAATTTTCAGTATATATATATATATATTTCTGAACCCGAATCGATCCGTTTTGTTACAGTTGAAGAACTATAAAGACAGACGAAACACACCTGGTGGATGCGACCACCATGAACAATAACACATCAAACTGCTTACATGTATGTTACAGTGAAACCTTTGATTTGTTTGGACAAAAATGAGAAGTCTCAAGAATGTTGATGATGATGAAAGTGTGTCTAATAACACTGCAGTGCGCATCACAACTGCTTGTGCTAACAGTTACAGGCATTAATGAAAAAAGCGTCAACTACCGGGTTAGAAGGACAGCACTGAAACGCCTAACTGAAACGAACAATATATCTTTATCATTATCTACAAGTAATAGGTAACAATTAACAAACTTCTTTGTGAAATGATGACAGCACGCAAAATAAAAAAAATATGGGGAAGAATATTGCTTACTAGTTTTCGCCTCCTCAGTTGCAGAGGCAAGTTTATCTGCTACAGCGGCGGGTACAAGAGGATTATCAGTTTCTGGAACAGGTTTTCCCAGGTCTTTGTGTAACTTCATTGTACGCTGGTGTTGTTTACCAGATATATGAGATTTATATGAATCAACACCGGTACAAGCAACATCACAAAGTTCACAACGCAGTTGATTTTCAGATGTCACAACCAACGATGAATTGTCATCAGTAGATACTTTTTTCTTCAATTCTTCGAAGGCTTCAGCCTAATGAATAAAAAAAATCAAAAAGTAAGTTAAATATGCTATAGTATGCCGCACATCTGTCACTGTAGATTATAATCTCACAGATTAAATTCAAAATGCAATAAATAATGATAGAACCGATACAATGTTATCAATCAGTTATTTCTAGTAACTAACAGTCAACAGTCAGAAACAAAGATGAATAATACTTTGATAAAGCTATTAGCATTAAATAGCGAAACGTCAGTAAAACCAATATCGTTTTGTTTTTCATTCATTGGGAAATACAAAAGCCTTTGTTATAATGAAAGATGAATGGAACCTAAAATAACACTAGGATCTTAATTTCTGGGAAAATAAATTATTTCCCACGTTAAGAATCGACATGGGGTCAGTTAGTGTATGTCTCGGATTAGATGTTTTGCTTTTAAGTCGTTAAATCATTCCAGAGCATAATTGGCATTTTTGTTCCCTTGGGTTCCAAGTGGAACATAAAACTTCAACAGCGCACCTCCACTTTGTCATATTCTCTGCGGTACTCCTTAGTCGGCACCAAGATTGCCCATTGTCTTTTATCTCCAACCTCACACGATCTCCTCTATTTCATCCTCGGACTACCCGCTCGTTGTTTCCTATTCAGGTTCCCTTCGAGGGTATGGAGCACGATGTCACTCGTCGGTCTTTTCAGCGTTCTTATCTTGATCAACAGTCATTGATGTTGTGACTGGACATTAATACATGCTTTGCAATGGATGATGCCGGATTCTGTTCACATTAATTACATCTGGATTTCCTAAATGACTTAATACTCCTTCAGGAGGATGTTCTTCCCAACGACATTGGACATTCTATTGGTTTTACCCATATACATATATATATATATATGAAATCCGTGCCTATTCCGAAAGAAGTCAAGGATCTGACGTTTCGAGTATGACTCTGTAACTGCTCAAGAATAGTAGCTATGAGCGGTCGACTAGATTTACTATTAAGGTGCTAGTAAATGCACGAGAATCCGAAATAATTCCGTCATACGGATATAAACCGTTGATTATGCGAGTCCATAAGGGGGAGGGGAGCCTTTCTTTTTTTCTGTGACGGATTACAATGGTGAAAATGTGGTTCATCACTGTCTTTAGAACTTGACTATTCCGTCTACTTTTCACCTGAACAACTGAGTAATATGATCCTTTCTAAAGTAACAAGTGTTACTCACCGGTATATGAAAACTACGTTCAGTGCAAACGAGTCTCAATCTGATATCTTAGTACACTGGAGTACAGTTATACAAAACCTAAGGTGGTTTGAAATAACAAACAAGCGAAAATCCAGGCAACATTTTTGTGCTCCAAACGAGGGTGATCAACTGCTGCTGCTGCTGCTGCTGGATTCAACATAGAACTTGGCACCGAAGTGCAGCAGTTCGAGTTGCCACGTTCCAAATAGCACACAAAGGTAGACAAAAAAATAAGTGAAGCGAATCAATAGAGGTTTGACAAGTATAAGAGTGAAACAGAATGAGTAATGGCAGAAAGGAATATGAAAGATTACAGAGACTGGATACATCTGCGTAAGCCATTGACAACGATTTTGAGCCATGTCACCTAGTGTCTCCAACCATTGATTCTTAGAGTCCCAAGGGTGGGCCCCAACCCGGAAGTCTGTATCTCCCTACCTGACTCAGTTTAACTGTCAGGGATTTCATGGATTGATGAGGCCATGTTTTTGTTTGGCCACCACTTACTCTTTCCCAACCTGCACCTACCTATATCAGGTAGTAATGCCCGTCAGGGGAGGCGATGGCTAGGCATGCGCAGCACGTGGCCTAACCATCTCAATCTATGTAACCTCATAGCCTCTTCGATTGATTTTCCCTCTTTGCCCAACACTCTACGCCTAACGTCAACATTACTTACCTTATTATACCACCTAACGTGAGGAAGAGATCGTAGACATCTGTGGTCAAAAATGGACAATCTTTTCATGTCTTCCGCTCTCAATGACCACGTCTCACCACCATAGAGAAGGACGGAGCGAACTGCTGAGCAGTACACACGTCCCTTGGTTGATAACCGTATGTCACGCCTACGCCAGAGACGGTGTTAGCGAAAGCAGCCCGAGCTTTCTGGATCCGTGCTGAGATTTCGTCACCAATCAATCAATCCGTTGGTGCTGATACAACTTCCCAAATAGGTGAAGTGGTCAACATGTTCTGTCACTTCACTCCCTATCACTAAGCCAGGAGTTGACGTAGTCCAGTCAGTCCTGTAGCAGCATCTTACATTTTACAGGGGCGAATCGCATGCCCGACCGAAAGCTGCTACCTTGACGTGGTGGTCGGGCTTGAACACCACGATGACCCAACAAGCTATACTGGCTGGAACTTATGTTCCTGCAGGTCCTACCATGCCAGGAAGGTTGTTTGGATAGCGGTTAGACTAAAAGCAGTTACCCAATCCAATCCTATGACTTCAAATAAATCACAAAATGTCATGCCGGATCGGTCGGGGCCCGGATTAACAACGACCGCGCTTTCTGCTGCCGTGTCACAGGGCAGAAGTGATAAATACGCTACTGAGACACACCAAAGAAAAAACAACAGAGTGATCAACAGAAATAAAACGGTGCTCATCACTGATCTATATACCTTGACCTGAAGACGGTGTCCAACCTTGTCCACAATAATCTGGGTAATGTTTGTCATAAGATTCAAAAGTTGGATGATAATTTAGGAATGGTTTGCACCAACCAAATTCCTAGTTTAATAGGAAGTGAAATAGTTGTCTGTTCTAACCACTTCACTTATTCCGAAGTTACATCACAATCACAATAGATCCCGCACTGACCAAATCTAAGTACGGATACAAGAAGCTTTTTTTATTCATTTGCCAACTTGTAACTTCGAGACTTCGGCAAGATATCCAGTACCCCACCACAGGGAGTGCATATCAGTCAACTGGTACATCTTCTATGTAATTACAATGTGAAAACTTTTAATACACACCCAACACACACATGTATAATGTACAAGAGAATGAAAGCAATCGAATTCAAATAGGTAGTTGTTTTTTCAGTGTATCTACCTGTGACATTCGTTTCTTGTGGCGTTGACCATCTTCATGATCCTTGAATGCACGTGAACTTGCACAACTGACTTTGCAAACTTCACAATAGAAAACTGTTGCCTCCTTTGGCGCAGCAGGTGGGTTTTGACGATTACGAGTAGCTAGAAAGAGAGAAAGTTATGATACAGCATTCAGTGTAATTACCTAAAACTTTATTATTATTATCCTAATGTGAGTTTATAACACCAAGGTGAGCAATAGCAAAATTAAGTACACCATCTGTATAATGGTGCAGCAGTAAGTAATCAGATTTTCTAAGCAGAAAATAAATTCGCGCATTTGTTCATTTTCAGTGCGAAACTACCGTTGGGTGTCGGTGGCACAGCGGTTCGGGGTTCGATCCCCGGCCACCAATGCACTCCTTTACTCCGCTAAGCCAGTAATAAGACTGGTAAAGAGGGAAGGTTGGACATGAGGCTGACTAGCAACCCTATCCCGTAAAAATAAACACCACTGCTATCGAAACTTTAAACCTCTAGCTCGAAGCCATATGCTCCGTCAAGAATGTGAAGGAGTGAAAAAAAACGGGAAACTAAGCTACAAAACACTGGAAACACTAGTCAACTTGTAACAACAGAACGTTAATTACGGTAAATCAACACGTATTTATAGATTTTGATGCACATTATTGTAGGTTAATGTTAGTAGAAAATACAGTCTGTTGATTGGTTGTTTCTCACACAAAGTTAACCTTGCATCTCTTGTGGCTGTGTCAGTTCATCAATATGTTAACTGTATCCGCCTGTCCATCTTGACCTTTGACCTCAATTACTGTCAACCAATTTGGCTAGCAGACAGTCCTCACCACAAACTCAATCGTGAACATTTATCAGGTTAAATATTCAATCAACCTGTCAGGTCAGGCAAAACACCAGCCTAGAGCTAAGGGGATTTACACCAGAATGACTATTCAATTAGCATTCTACAAAATTTAAAGCCTTACCTTCTTTATTTCCTTTAAAATGACCGGATGGTTTAGGACGTCCACGGTTTGGGAATCCAGTATTCCTTTGATAACGAACTGGGGGTCCCGTGTATACTGATTGAGGTGTAGGATTCGGTTGTGAAGGATGGTTGTAAACATCAGAATGAAAGCTGTTGGCTGATGAATTCATAGACATCCAATTAGATGCTTCTGGAGGAATACGGAAGGCGTACTGGTTTTGGTAGTCAGCGGACATATTAGCGTTTTCTGAAACACCAGAGGGTAGTGGGTGCTGTTGTTCTGAAAAATTAACGCACGTTTCGTCAGCAGAAGGCACCATACCAGGTCTAGCATAATAGTGAGGATTTGAACTAACTGAAAAACCACCATCACTTCGATAGGGAGGTGGTGTCGACTGGAAGTCCATTGGAGAGACCTCAAAACCAAAAGGTCTAGGTCCAGGTCTTGGAGCAGCATTTCCTAAATCTGGAAAAAATTAAAAAGTACAGAATAATTACAATAAGCGCAATGTTTACTAAAGTGCACGCAGATTAAGCACTCCTTTCACTTAGATAAGGCCAACAGTTTGTCAACAACTTTTGCAGCAATAAACTTAACATTCTAAAGATTTTACGCTGTACAAAACCTTTCAAAACTTTTCATAAGCAGAATATTTTTAGGAACCATAGAGGGGGTACACTTGCGCGTTTGGAAATGTACGGCAGCTTGAGTGATACAAGGGCAAAAAACAGTCCTACCATATTCATTACCACAAGCGATCAATTTATGCAGTTCATACTAACCTCTATTAAATCTACAGACTATCAGCTGATTCCAGTGTGAACATCAAATTTATTTATAGCTGTAACTTAATCAGAATTACACTGAAAAGGTAAACAAATACAAGAGAAAAGTACCCCGTGGAATTATTAGACGAGTTGTCTTTTATGGCAGGGATATTGTTTTGTCTACGCTGAACAAAAAATATTCTAACCACAATCAGAATCACATCATACCTCAGTAGTCTGGATTAAAAGAACTGAGGCACTTTCCAGTTCCAAGATGACGTATCATATCTACTTTATTTTAACCGATATCCCAACCTCATATGAGAACAAAAATGATTCGGCTACACTTGACACTCTTAGGATTGAGAATACAAAATTGAAAAGCTATAGGGGAAGTTTAAAAACACTATAAGTGTGAACAGATGATGCTAATTATCTGCTCTTATGAGTGAGTTAAGTATAATTGCATTACAACTTGTGCTCAATTACTACTAGTGGTCGAGTATTACTTCGAACTGATTAATCTGGACCGGTCTCGTATCAATTTTCTAGGAATCGCTCGAATTCTAGCACTATAAATAGATAGGTATGGATGACCAGATAAATGCGGTGTGATTTCCCAGAAAATAAAAATATAACATTGTATCAAAATGGAAACGAACTCGTCTAAAAATTAATATATAATATTGTCCTCTTAGATTTTGAGTGGAACATAAGGCTTCCCCATTTCATCCTATTCTCTGCGGTACTCCTTAGCTGACCCCACGACTGCCCATAGTCTTTCATCTCCCCCTCACATAATCCCCTCCACGCCATCATCGGCCGTCCCACTCGAGGTCTCCTGGGCGTGTCCCACCCACCTCTATTTTCTTCCATATATCTATTAGCAATCGGTTTTCAGTCGATTGATTCCCAGAGTTTCTCGTTATGAATTCTCTCTTTCCATTTGATCTTCAGCATGCAGTGCAGGAAGCAGTTAAAGGTCTGCAACCTGTTGGAAATGCTTCGCTTGACGCTCGTATCAAAGTTCCTGACCCATGCAGAAGATTTCCAAACTGATTTCAAAATGACGAAGGTCTGTCTTGCCATTCCGATTCTGGTTTTCTTAGCCTCATCCGTGTCAACTGCCTTTAGTTGAAACGATGCGGCCTAGATAGGTGAAGGAAGTGATGCCTTTCAGATTCACTCCGTTAGTAGAGATAGATGGGTATCTTCATCACCTCTGTTTTCTCTATGTTTACTTCACGTCCTGTCTGAAACTTACACTACGAAGTAACTATTCTATGATAGAGTAAATTTTTGTGATAAAATCAGTGTTATTACAGCATTATTTATTTATGACGTTTTGAGCTGAGTTTTTATTGCTGCTCATAATCACATCAGCGTACTCACAACTTTCCAACTTCATTTATCGACATGGGCGACAAATTGGTTAAATTGAATAAATATAGTTTAACACGAAGTTCACTAAACATACATGAAATAGATGATAGGAAGATAAAGTACATTCCGAAATGTGTGAGTACAATACCATGGGAAATAAGACGAGTATTTTCAGTAAAATAAAACATGAAATATTGGTGTGACAACTTAATAAATAAAACAGAAAAAATGGAAAATTATTTTTTATCATTCAATTTGATCGATAGTAATATTTTTCATATCTCGTATTGGTGATGAGTCATTCCTATTTCATTTACTGGGTGTAGATTCAATGAACACAGATTCAGTGGTTAGCCTATCTCCACCTACTTATATTACTTTTTTAGAATTGTAACTCTGCCCCACCCTATTGTGTGTACACTTACACAGTCGTGACTAAAGTAGTGATATGTTGGGCTCCACCTATTTTTCAATAAGACAGGGTGCATTCCAGTTGGTCTACTACGACTTTAGTAGACTGAGGTGTACTTAAAGTCATTTGTCTGTTAATAGTAGTCAAAGCTTTCCAAGTGTCATTTTCTTCACATATATACACTTAATAGTAGAAGGAATAAATTCACATTTGAATCAGAAAATGAACAAGGAGAATTAGCTGCTGGGTTGTAAAATGAAACGAATAAAACGTAAACTGCGCACCAACATTTATAAGAAGCCAACACATTCTAATAGATATTCAAACTTTAATTCAACGCATCCGTTATCTGTGAAGGCAGGCTTAGGTAAGTGTTTAACAAACCAAGCAATAACAACACTAAGAGTACATCAAAAAACCGAAATGATGAAATGAAACATAGAAGAAGCGCTGGTGCTAAATAACTATCCCATGAAATTCATTAAGATAACAAAATCCCACGCAAAAAAGAACAACAGTGAAACTGGTAAAGATAGCATTAAAAGAAAGAATTCAAGGCATGTACAGTCTTACTACATAAGGAAGCGACACGTGAAACCTTATGTGCGATTCTTAATAGAACGGGAATCAGGGTGGCACTTAAAACTACCAAGTCACTCCGAGACAAGCTCTGTAGGTTAAAGAGAACCCTACTGATCCAATTTACACAATGATTATGAGGTTAACTACACAGGTCGAGCCAGTAGATCGCGAGTAGTCAGATTATGGGGACATAAGAATTCAGCTAAATATAAAGTGACTGATCCCACAAAGACCAGAGATTTAGAAAAATAAACTTAGCAAATTCAATGCATGCATTAATACACAACCGCACAATAGGATGGGACAGTTACAATTCTAAAAAGTAATATAGGTAGGTAGAGAGAGGCTGACCACTGAATCTTTGTTCATTGAATCTACACCCAACACATGAAATAGGAATGACTCATCACCAATTAAACTCTGCCACATTGTCAAAGTTCTATTTATACATGAATTAAACATATTCAAAGCTAAACTGAAGGTTCAAATCAAATAAATGACAACGGGTATCAAAACTAATGGACCTACCGAATGACGTATTCATATCTTGAGAATAAAATGCTGAGGATGGTGTAATACCATATTGAGGGCCAAAATGATTCATAATAAACTAAAATTAGAAGAAAATCAGTGAGCGAAATGGAAACACAAGCAAGAAACGTAACACACTTGAGTCAATATAGAAAGTTTGGATATAAAACGTTGGAAAACACTACATGTGCATAAGTGCTTATACATCACAGCAGAGATGTATTTATGAGGCCATTTTGCAGCAGCCAACTACCACTTTAATTCAATCTAGAAATGGAGTAACTAGTCTCCTTTGAGTTACTTATAATTATGTTTCAATATTTTACACAAGGATAAGTTTTTTGTTTTGATAAGCCTGATACCAAAACATGGAATAAATCCACTAAGCCACTGGTTTGGTTCGGGCTACGCAGGGTAGTGTAGATTATGTGTGTGAGGTCCTTGGAACACGAAGAGCTAATGGTAGGTTTTCCTGAGCAGGAAAAATCACGTTTCTAGAGCGATGGCCGACTTAAATGGCTCTACAGTGGTTAAACTGATAGGCAAGGCGGCTAGCAGAGGTATTCAGTCTCACGGTTTGGTGTAATATTTGTGTATTCTACCACATGCACGTTTGACTATAACCTGTTGGTCTGAATGATTCGACGTTATTTAGAAATATTAGTGTATAACAAATACTTATTAATTTTTATAGACAACTGTAGAGCCTGAAGCTAATGGAAAGAATATTCACCGTCCCTAGTCAGTCTGTTGTGGTTTCACAACTTTCCTGCTAATGGGTTATATTATTTAAAACACAAAATTTGTACATTGTGGGCACCTCAGTGAGAACTTTGCTGGAGTGTAGTGACTTGAACTGATGTACTTTTGTGCAGAACTGTGTAAAGTGCAGAATATGACATGGTTAACAGAGCTTGAAGTAGATGAACCAGTTGCGTTACCATTGTAAGATACAGTTAAATTTATGCAATACTGGCCATTGGACAGCCATATTAAGCGTTACCGTGCAGTAGACAGAACATGCTAACAAAACAAACCGATATTCTAAATGCAACTCATACCGCAATGACGATTTTAAGGTGAACAAAAGTGTGACTTCCTAGACATGAAGTATTGTTAATATATGATTGAACAGCTGTAATAAGACTGACTCAAAGGTGTTTTCAATGGACCCAAAGCTCAACTCAATGACAAACGCTAAATGGTGCGAGCCACATCTACCAGTCTAAATAGCTAGATTGCACACGCCCCACACCTCTTCGCACAGTTTGGTTTGATGTCATTTACTCATATTGTGTCGCAAACAAATGGTAAGTACTCACAAGGCCGTTTGGCTCACCAACTTCACTAACGTTCCAAGTGTTTAAAGGGGAAAGGTGTCAAGTAAAAAAGTAAACTGTAAAACCATACCTTTCTTACTGTACACTAAACATGAGTCTTCATGACATTACTCTTGAGAACAATACTCTAAAAGCAGTACATTCGATGCTTGTCGTTTCTAAGGTAGCCGACATACGGCTACACTTCCACGACGGGAGATAACAAACATGAATCACTTTCAGTCTAGCCCGAGTTCGGAGTTTCCGGACATACCCTAAGCATGGAAATCGGGAGAGTTTCGACAATCTAGTCACTTTATCACTGACCATAGGTAAGCAATCTGAATTAAGGAGTATTGCTTGACGCGGAGCCGTGAGTAGATAATATAAATCATGAAGCCTCGGGATCCACTAGTATTTCTGATACTGTTACTAACTTTATCCCAAAATGGCAATTCTCTTAAATATACCAATTTCCAAGTGAGGCTTCCATAGGCAAATGTTTTAGTTAGTACTACTGATCCACTAATCACAATTATGGAGCTTATTAAGATAACCCAGAACAGAAACCACAACTTTAACTGTAAGAATTTATCTACCGAAGTAACTGCTGTAACTTAACATCACCGTCAACCGTCTAAATTTAATGTATAAAAACCAATTTCACTCACACGATCAAAATCTCTCCAACCGCCAAATCAGGTATGGTGTGCTATCCGCCAAGAACTTTATAACAAAGGGCGTTCAATGTCAAATGCAAAACGAAAGTGGATTGGTTGTTTCTAGTTTTCTGAGCTTTGTTCCGTCTGTTTCGTGCACCAGATTTCGTAACCTTGTCACCATAAACACATCAGTACATCTGTTTCACGTGTTTAGTGAACAAATATTTTATGAAACGTTTTTAAAAAATGCTGAAGATAAATAATTTCATCACCAAAAACAGGTCGTCCCAGCCTTTCCGCAACTGATTTAACAGTGAAAAGTAATTTACTGCGTGCACATGGAGTTATAATCTTCGATGTCTACCACAATAGGATAAAAGGCTGCCGCAGGAAGGCGTCTAAATCCTCTTCTTTATGTGTTGGTAGGTTTTAAGGAACAACTGTGGCTCTTAGAAACCGATAGATTAAGAAAGCCCATTAAGAGGAGATGTATCCAACTTGGTTGCTCGTTCCGTTCTTCTGATTTCTTTCATCACTTGCAACATCTGAGTGGCCATATAGTACCGTGCTGCAGAGATCCCACAGGCTCAGTCAGCTTGGGCTGATGAAATGGCGCATCTTACATACCATACATCATCCTTAAACTGAGAAGTAACCCGTAAAAGTCAAATCTCACCCCCAAATTACCAACAAGTGATTCATAATAGCGAAATCAGTTACCAGATTAGTATCCAATGGCTGGGCGATAAATACACTTATCTTGTAACCTGAAGGTCCTGAGTTATTTTTTCCCGAAAGCAGAGTAGTGTAACACAATAGAGTTAAAAACTAAGGTAAAACAACACTCTGGTGCATCTGATTCACTGGGCAAATGTTAGTGCAGGAGGAAGAGGAGGAGCAAAAACAAATCATTTTGACGCAACTTAGGACCCCTAGCCTTCGTTCTACTGATCTTAGATAGGACAGGATATTTGTAAGAATCGTATGTCTTTACACATCGGAGAAATAAACAACTCCAAAGGGAAAAAATTTGACGATTCCCTTTGAAGTTCTCACTTGAAACTTACCGGGATGTGATTTTCACATGTTTACCTTCCATTTGGCGCCTATTATTATGGAGCCATTCAGTCAAATCTGGATCAAATTTCGCATGAAGCTTAGGATATAGCGATAACAATACATTATGTGCCCCTTGCAATGCGCCGCGTTTGAACCCATCTTTTCTCGAATACAGGCGGAATTAGCCCATGTAGGAAAGATGCAGCATCAGAAGCTGGTAACAGTTCTCCATCTCAAGACAAAAGTAAAAGAGCCTAGACAATTACAAACTCAATTTTTTGTCGTCCCACAATTAAGGGTAAACGCCTTTCGTTTTAAAGTTCTCAGCAGATAGCATTGTATACCTGATTTGGCGATTCGGAAGATTCTGTTAACCAGCTTTTCGTAACTAATGAGGAAAAGTCTTTAGTATATCCTCTAGGTTCACATGCACGATAGTCCTTTTAGTACACGAACGACTATAAGAGACGGTGGTGCATGCGGATTAGCATATATGGAGGAAGTCACAAATGTGGGTCACTCCTACCCGTAGAAATGCAGTGTGTATTTGGACCACTCGAAATTAAAACATGGGTTTCGATTCATTTCCGAAAAACAGTGAAGATTATCTTTGTTTAAATAGCAGGTAGTGCTTCTTCAATAGAAACGACAAAATATTACCAACATTTTGGGAAATGTGAAATTAATTGTTTTAAAGTGCCTGTAAAAATGATATGCTAATCACGTGAATAAATTCCTTTGTATGAAAATATGTATTATAAGTAACAGAGATTACCCAGCTGCATTAATTTCGAATTTGGTGGCCCTTCCGCAGGTGTTTTCGCTGATATTTATTGCTCCCTGTCACGTGATCTTTGATAATGTTTTCGTTTGAACATCAGTAATTTAAGAAATGGCGCGACCCCTTCTAACAACCCTAACAGCCCATCTAAATCAAACGGCTCGACCATAGTGGTGACTCCTGTATTATAGGAGAAAGAAGTTATGTCAGAGAAGGTGCAGCTTTCTGACGGCATCACAAACGATATGCGGTTGCAAATAAATGAACTCAGAACAAAATTAGACGCACTTAGCTGCGTGCCTTAAACTATCAGGCATGTCGGAAAATAACTGGGTGATCTTAATATTCTAGAACTCCTCAATATGAAATCCGTAATAAGTCACACTGACTCATAAAGCGCTGGTGACTTCCTGTGAAAGAAGTCAAAATAATAGCATCTATAAAGAATGCGGCAGTGCACAGCATACCGGACTTCGAACTTTTAAGGTCGGTTCAGCACTAGTCTCCATAGGCCGCAATTCTCCTTAGGATACTGCCAAAGCATCCCACTTATTAGAAAAGTACCCAAAACACGTGCCGTATACTCTTTCGATTTGACAGCTACCCAGTGGCAGAACAGTGTATGGGACATGTGGATATTTTGGCTACTTTTAAATCCAACAGTGTCAAAATAGCTTCGGATAGAACACAAAACCAACAATGAGTAACCAAGAATACCTCGGATGAGAACAGGGGCATGTCGCAATACATGTTTGATCCCAGTGCTAAACTATCGAAGTATATTCGAGCACGTAGTGATATATGCTCAATGTTGGGTGAACGGCTGAATTACCAAAGCGAAGTGGAGCCTAAAAGGAACACTATCACTACCGGGAATTTCAAAATTCGTGAGATCATCCGTAAGAAATCCACAGACCTCACTATGGGTAATCAACAACTACTTACATGCCACACCCCACCCAGAATGGTTCCGCAGAGTTTTACAGTGGTGACTGCTGAAAGAACTTCGATTCTCAGTGTCCCTCCCCAGGAGTTCATTTAACTCCTACGCAATAAGCCCAATAGGCTGTATAACTATCGTTTCACAATGGACTTATCCGGCATGTTGATTGAAATTTTGCCTGGTTAATATTTTGTGAATAAATTTTAATAAAATTCTGTTATATGTTTTCTGAACCGATATACATTCTCATTTTCTGACGAGTCAAGTTGGTTTTCGCGTCATGTGATCTGACTGCAACGCACTCTTAGCATATTGGTTGCAATGATTAATGTTTCAGGCGGACTGTGTCAAAATATCGCTATAATGAGCAAGATGGGCCAGTTGAAGGGTAAAGTCTAATTTATATGGAAGCTGTACGTCTCAGGATATCAGTGCATCATTCTGTTCTGTGAAAAACAGTATTATTTGACAAGTGAATGCTATCAGTACATGATAGTCACCTATAAATGCTAACAGAACATTTTGTGGGAACCTAAGTTATCATGTATATGTGTCTTTTACCTTATCTGTGCTTGGACAGATTCATATTCAGATTATAAGAATGGAAGGCTCTTGTTGCCTGTGTTAATCCTCGCGATATATATCTCCGCAGAGATCCAGTTTCTCTTTGAAAGCGTTCACTGATGGAGGTGTTACTACCGAATCAGGTAAGGAGTTCCAGTCGTTGACCACTCTGTGAGAGAATCTAAACTCCAAACGTATTCTATTCGACCTCGGTTTGAGCACCTTCTTGTGGTAACCTCGTAAATGTATCCTAGAGAGAGAGAAAGGATTGAAAGGTCAATCCCTAAATCACCCTTTATTACACGGTAAGCCAAAATAAGGTCGCTCCTCCTCCTTCGGTACGATAATGGGAAGAGACTTAAATGCTCCACCCTCATATCATAAAGAAGGTGTGAGATACCACCAACTAATTTCGTTATCATGTTATCTCGTAGATGTGTCTTTCACCGTTTGTGTGTTTGAACAGGAATCATCGTAAGTTGAAAGTTTATGCCTAAGTGGATTTCATCTTTATTCGCAGTGCAATATGGGTTATGTGGATTCAGTGTATAAAAAATACCTCCACTTTATTAAGATTGTGCCATTGTTTGTTTGGCTGACTGCTAGGCTAACAAATGTAGGTGGTTCTCATGATTTCTGCAAGTGCAGTGCATTGCAAAAGGCAATTACTCGTCCGATTTTCCTCACTATTTCACTTAATACATTAATTCAGTATATGGTATTGATACACACATGGATTGTGTTGATTATCAGAACTGTCGTACCATTCCCACTGATAGTGTATACTTAATGCTGCAATATTTTTGATCGCCAATGGTGAAGATGAATTCATCCTGAAATTTTCATTTACATGAAGCAGTACAGATGCAGTATAATGATTGAATGTCTAGGTTGCATTATATGACATTGTTAACCTCATCAACCCAGCACTTCTGTGTATCCTACAATATTATAAGTGTTTTTCTATACTTTTAACACTGTGCATAGCTGCTTAGAGTTGAGGCATGTTCAGTTTATATTTGGTAGCTACAGTTTCGTAAATATGAGAATGTAATTTCCGTAGGATTCATAAAACTATGCTCACTAAACATCAGTGAGATTCTGGATCGATTTCTAAGTTACACATTCGCAATACTTCCTTTAATTTAAATGTATTTAGTGTGAAGTTTGTCAGCGAGTAATCTTGATGAGAGAATGACGCCTCATCAGTATGGATGTTTCAGATATTATCTTGAAATTTGCGCATAATCCTCGAATACTGGAAAACATGAGGTCTTTTTATGCATACGGAGTCAATATAGGCCAAGTTAAACTTTAGACACCAATAACTACCAATCAGCGAACGACGTCGAATTATCCAATGAGATTCACGAACGTAGTTCAATGTTGTACAGCGCTTAATTCATTTCAATGCGTGCCCTTACAAGGTTACGTTTGCAATTCGAGGAGGATAGTGTCTTTCAGTATTGCCTGGACTTAGGCTTGCTTCGAAAAGAGAGAAGTTGTTCGTATGATGGTGTAATGACTCTAAAAAGCTATACTAGGTCAACTGATGGTTTTGTACATCGTTGTGGAATATGCTGGAAGCGAGTTAGTATTAGAGAGAGTAATATTTCGAATGAGATTTTTTACTAGGTTTGTACAGATTTGCAATTACTGGGTACTGAAACAGCCCGTGAGAGCCGTTGCTGCCGAGACGGAGAACAGCCTCGTCTCAACAGTTAAGTGGTATACCACTGGTATACTAGCACTGCAGGGATATCGCCTCATGGAAAATGGACGGAGTTACTTCGTTGTTAGGCGGGGACGACGTAGTAA